CGTCGAGGAACCCAAGGTGACTGATGAAATCGTCGAGGAACCCAAGGTGACTGAGGAAATCGTCGAGGAACCCAAGGTGACTGAGGAAATCGTCGAGGAACCCAAGGTGACTGAGGAAATCGTCGAGGAACCCAAGGTGACTGAGGAAATCGTCGAGGAAACCAAGGTGACTGAGGAAATCGTCGAGGAAGCCAAGGTGACTGAGGAAATCGTCGAGGAACCCAAGGTGACTGAGGAAATCGTCGAGGAACCCAAGGTGACTGAGGAAATCGTCGAGGAACCCAAGGTGACTGAGGAAATCGTCGAGGAACCCAAGGTGACTGAGGAAATCGTCGAGGAACCCAAGGTGACTGAGGAAATCGTCGAGGAACCCAAGGTGACTGAGGAAATCGTCGAGGAACCCAAGGTGACTGAGGAAATCGTCGAGGAACCCAAGGTGACTGAGGAAATCGTCGAGGAACCCAAGGTGACCGAGGAAATCGTCGAGGAACCCAAGGTGACCGAGGAAATCGTCGAGGAACCCAAAGTGACCGAGGAAATCGTCGAGGAAATCGTCGAGGAACCCAAAGTGACCGAGGAAATCGTCGAGGAAATCGTCGAGGAACCCAAGGTGACTGAGGAAATCGTCGAGGAACCCAAGGTGACTGAGGAAATCGTCGAGGAACCCAAGGTGACTGAGGAAATCGTCGAGGAACCCAAGGTGACTGAGGAAATCGTCGAGGAACCCAAGGTGACTGAGGAAATCGTCGAGGAACCCAAGGTGACCGAGGAAATCGTCGAGGAACCCAAGGTGACCGAGGAAATCGTCGAGGAAATCGTCGAGGAACCCAAGGTGACTGAGGAAATCGTCGAGGAACCCAAAGTGACCGAGGAAATCGTCGAGGAAATCGTCGAGGAACCCAAGGTGACTGAGGAAATCGTCGAGGAACCCAAGGTGACTGAGGAAATCGTCGAGGAAATCGTCGAGGAACCCAAGGTGACCGAGGAAATCGTCGAGGAACCCAAGGTGACTGAGGAAATCGTTGAGGAACCCAAGGTGATTGAGGAAATCGTCGAGGAACCCAAGGTAACCGAGGAAATCGTCGAGGAACCCAAGGTGACTGAGGAAATCGTCGAGGAACCCAAGGTGACTGAGGAAATCGTCGAGGAACCCAAGGTGACTGAGGAAATCGTTGAGGAACCCAAGGTGACTGAGGAAATCGTCGAGGAACCCAAGGTAACCGAGGAAATCGTCGAGGAACCCAAGGTGACCGAGGAAATCGTCGAGGAACCCACGGTGACTGAGGAAATCGTCGAGGAACCCAAGGTGACTGAGGAAATCGTCGAGGAAGCCAAGGTGACTGAGGAAATCGTCGAGGAACCCAAGGTGACTGAGGAAATCGTCGAGGAACCCAAGGTGACTGAGGAAATCGTCGAGGAACCCAAGGTGACTGAGGAAATCGTCGAGGAACCCACGGTGACTGAGGAAATCGTCGAGGAACCTAAGGTGACTGAGGAAATCGTCGAGGAACCCAAGGTGACCGAGGAAATCGTCGAGGAACCCAAGGTGACTGAGGAAATCGTCGAGGAACCCAAGGTGACTGAGGAAATCGTCGAGGAACCCAAGGTGACTGAGGAAATCGTCGAGGAACCCAAGGTGACTGAGGAAATCGTCGAGGAAGCCAAGGTGACTGAGGAAATCGTCGAGGAACCCAAGGTGACCGAGGAAATCGTCGAGGAACCCAAGGTGACCGAGGAAATCGTCGAGGAACCCAAGGTGACTGAGGAAATCGTCGAGGAACCCAAGGTGACTGAGGAAATCGTCGAGGAACCCAAGGTGACTGAGGAAATCGTCGAGGAAATCGTCGAGGAACCCAAGGTGACTGAGGAAATCGTCGAGGAACCCAAGGTGACTGAGGAAATCGTCGAGGAACCCAAGGTGACCGAGGAAATCGTCGAGGAACCCAAGGTGACTGAGGAAATCATCGAGGAACCCAAGGTGACTGAGGAAATCGTCGAGGAACCCAAGGTGACTGAGGAAATCGTCGAGGAACCCAAGGTGACTGAGGAAATCGTCGAGGAACCCAAGGTGACCGAGGAAATCGTCGAGGAACCCAAGGTGACCGAGGAAATCGTCGAGGAAATCGTCGAGGAACCCAAGGTGACTGAGGAAATCGTCGAGGAACCCAAGGTGACTGAGGAAATCGTCGAGGAACCCAAGGTGACCGAGGAAATCGTCGAGGAACCCAAGGTGACTGAGGAAATCGTCGAGGAACCCAAGGTGACTGAGGAAATCGTCGAGGAACCCAAGGTGACTGATGAAATCGTCGAGGAACCCAAGGTGACCGTGGAAATCGTCGAGGAAATCGTCGAGGAACCCAAGGTGACTGAGGAAATCGTCGAGGAACCCAAGGTGACCGAGGAAATCGTCGAGGAAATCGTCGAGGAACCCACGCTGACTGAGGAAATCGTCGAGGAACCCAAGGTGACTGAGGAAATCGTCGAGGAACACAAGGTGACTGAGGAAATCGTCGAGGAAATCGTCGAGGAACCCAAGGTGACTGAGGAAATCGTCGAGGAACCCAAGGTGACTGAGGAAATCGTTGAGGAACCCAAGGTGACTGAGGAAATCGTCGAGGAACCCAAGGTAACCGAGGAAATCGTCGAGGAACCCAAGGTGACCGAGGAAATCGTCGAGGAACCCAAGGTGACTGAGGAAATCGTCGAGGAACCTAAGGTGACTGAGGAAATCGTCGAGGAACCCAAGGTGACTGAGGAAATCGTCGAGGAACCCAAGGTGACTGAGGAAATCGTCGAGGAACCCAAGGTGACCGAGGAAATCGTTGAGGAAATCGTCGAGGAACCCAAGGTGACCGAGGAAATCGTCGAGGAACCCAAGGTGACTGAGGAAATCGTCGAGGAAATCGTCGAGGAACCCAAGGTGACCGAGGAAATCGTCGAGGAAATCGTCGAGGAACCCAAGGTGACTGAGGAAATCGTTGAGGAAATCGTCGAGGAACCCAAGGTGACTGAGGAAATCGTCGAGGAACCCAAGGTGACTGAGGAAATCGTCGAGGAACCCAAGGTGACTGAGGAAATCGTCGAGGAACCCAAGGTGACTGAGGAAATCGTCGAGGAACCCAAGGTGACTGAGGAAATCGTCGAGGAAATCGTCGAGGAACCCAAGGTGACTGAGGAAATCGTCGAGGAACCCAAGGTGACTGAGGAAATCGTCGAGGAACCCAAGGTGACTGAGGAAATCGTCGAGGAACCCAAGGTGACTGAGGAAATCGTTGAGGAAATCGTCGAGGAACCCAAGGTGACTGAGGAAATCGTCGAGGAACCCAAGGTGACTGAGGAAATCGTCGAGGAACCCAAGGTGACTGAGGAAATCGTCGAGGAACCCAAGGTGACTGAGGAAATCGTCGAGGAAATCGTCGAGGATCCCAAGGTGACTGAGGAAATCGTCGAGGAACCCAAGGTGACTGAGGAAATCGTCGAGGAACCCAAGGTGACTGAGGAAATCGTCGAGGAACCCAAGGTGACCGAGGAAATCGTCGAGGAAATCGTCGAGGAACCCAAGGTGACTGAGGAAATCGTCGAGGAACCCAAGGTGACTGAGGAAATCGTCGAGGAACCCAAGGTGACTGAGGAAATCGTCGAGGAAATCGTCGAGGAACCCAAGGTGACTGAGGAAATCGTCGAGGAACCCAAGGTGACTGAGGAAATCGTCGAGGAACCCAAGGTGACTGAGGAAATCGTCGAGGAACC